GGACAATCCCTAAAGTATGTTGAAATTGCCTTAAGGGAAGAGGTTTTCAGTTATAGACTATTAAATGTTGCTTTGTCTAGGACTACCTGTGGTAAACAAGTAAAGATATTAACTTCAACTGGAGATGGAATAAGAGTATAAGAATTGCATTTATGCAAAAATGTCGCATATTCCAAGGCTTTTGTTAACTGAACAAAATTGTCATTTATTTTTCTACTCATCTGTTTCTTAGTTTATAGTCAATAATATTCTAAATTTCAATTATCAATGACATATTTGTTAAAGATTTATAATAGAAAAATTATATACTTTATGATAGTAATTTCAGAATATTTAATTTAAGAAGCTAGCTTTAACATATTGTGTATTATGAACCCATGTGATTCACACATGACCAATCACTTGTTAACTTACAGGCATTAGATAAGAGAGATGTGGAGCAGGAAAATAATGTAGGGAGATAAGGTGGTCATACAGAGAGTAGCAGGAAAGAGGAGAAAATAGGTATTTAGATACTCAAAGGAGAAATTGAATAAGAATTGTATTGATTCTACTGCTAAAGTAGGAGGGAAGGAGATTAGCCAGCTGATGCTCAGCTGTTTTAATAGTCAAACTCATGTTTTCTTTTTAACTGTTTTTCCTAATACTTTTTCTACTTGAAGTAGACTGACTAGAAAGTCTATTAATAATATTTATGATCAATATGACTTTTTGAAGATATGGGAGGCTATCAGGAGGCATCTCAGAGAGGAAGAGGTTTTCTTTATCATTGGCAATACTAAGACTCACTTGTCTTTTAGGAGATAGGTCAGAAAGCAATAAATTACTCTTATAAAAATTCCTGCCTATTCATTAGATATCAATTATTCAATTAAACATTCTTGGACTCTAGTGCAAGATAAACTTCAGAAGCATTATCCTGACCTATATCTCATCAGGGGTTCTGACAGTGAGGTCAAAAAGCTAAAGAGAAGGCAATTACTTTTTTGTTGAAAAATTCTTAATCCAAATATTTTTAATTCTCTAGCAGGCTCAAAGGTGGATAGGATTGAAGCAAATATTCAGACTGATGGATAGTATACTAAATATTGATTTCTACTATGTATTTACTTTTTTAATTTTTTTGTTATCATGTTTCTGGTATTAATAGAGAGAGGTTGTTGTATAGTCAAAGTTTTTTCTATTTGTTGTTTGGTAGTTATTTTTGTCAATGAATAATAAGATATGTGTGTAGAATTTTTAATAGAATAACTAGGGTATATACACCACTAGGAATTGCTCAATTCCAAGATCAAATAGGGATTCTATTTAAAAAAGGAAGCAAATGGATGGCAACCTTTTCTGTCAAACAAACAATTACAAAGTGGAACGGTTGCTTATAGTTCCATTTTTGCCAAACAGGGCCTAGGTTTTAGAAATCAGACATAAGCCAAACTAGGTCAACAAGTACCTGTACCGTCTACAGTTCACCAAGACCATTTTGTTCGTCACTTCATTAGCGGCATGAATACACTGTGATTCGTGAAGTACCGCCTTATTGCTCCTAGATATCCTTATATCACCAATACCTGCAATTTGGACATCAAGGGAGTCTTTCCTTCCCCTATTACTGCACGCCGCAAATACCCCCTAGGAATATCATCTCGTACGAACACTTCCTCTCGTGGTCCTCAATGATCCTTTGATTTTCTGCCGAACCCGTCATTTGGGTCTTTGTCTTGCCACGCTGGCCATTATTCTACTCATGCCCAGTGTTCTTCCTCCCCTGTCTCCATCGTTCTACCTCCACAGGTGCCACTTCCGAAGTCCCTGACTCGCAGTAATCCACTTGAGAATATCGCTTGGCCCATCCATTGAATTTTCTTGGTGACAAGCTCGGCCCTGAGAACCTCTAAAGCAGAATTCGACAACCAATATGTCCTCCCCACATGGGTTCACAGTAGCTCTTGGCCGCCCAGGTGGCAGATATCGCTTTGCGCGAATTATAGCAGTTCAGTTAAGCCTTCTATCAATGGAATTGAAGCGGCCCATATAGCACGACCAATCCGTGGTGGTCATGTCGGTCCCATTTCCCTACTGTCTTCCATGCTTTGCGACCCCTAGCGTGCCATTTTCTCGCCCTACACGAGTAGGGGCTTGTATGTCTTTGGACCCTCCATGTTTCTTATCCTTGAAACCGCCGTCTCTGTTCAAATACCAATACAAGCTTAATACAAGGGGTGCAGGAACCAATCCCAACCTAGGACACTCTGCTTCGAGCAGTGCATCCCAAATAGAACTGTAATATTAGAATCCTCTGTTGCCGCCATAACCCTCCTCGGTGCTCTCCATAGGGCTCTTTGCCAAAGCCTTATCCCCTCCAGCAAGTGTTGACCAAAATAACCAACTGCATTAACTCGGCTCGGGATTTCCAACTGGCCCGCTCGCCTCGTTCTATCCACTATAACTTAGCTACCCAAAGCACTTCTCACTTCACCAAAAAATAAAAATTAAAAAAAGTCAGCTTTTTCCCGTCCTGCTTCAAAACATATCAGAACCCCCCCCCCTACCAACCCTATCACTCGACCCCACCACTTTCCGATCCCTCTCCCCCACCTCGAGAAGGCCTAGATTGCCCAAAATTCCCTCTGCAAAATTCCCTATTCCTCCCATCTGCACTATGCCGTTCGTCTTCCTTGTCATAACGCCGCACGATTTCAAGCTCGCAAAATCCTACCCCGGCAACGTCACTCGCTCAACTCACCCTCTCACCACGGTACCCTACACCCCTTCCCACATGCCATCACAATATCTCACTCGTAGTATGCACCCCTCTCCTCCCCTGCATGAGACCCCTCCTTCCCATCCTATGTCTCAAACACCCGAGTCACGTCTACAGCGCGACGGTCACTCGTCCCCCCTTCTTCAAATCTGAATGGAGTAATAATTGGCGGAACCCACTTTATTGCTCCCCATGCGGCCGCCTCGGTCCAAGGCCGAATGTGGACAATGCCTGTGAGAGGTACCGGTATGGGCTTTTCGTGCCCCGGTAATTTTATCTTATCTAGAATAGCTATCGGGCGCGAAAAGCCGCGATAACGATACGATACATAAAAAATTTAAAAAAAAGCGGTATTTGGCCTACTTTTTTTTCTTTTCTTTCCTCATTTCCATTTCCCTCTTCATCATTTTTCGTTTCTTTTTCCTATTTTTTTTCTTTTTCTCTTTTTTATGAAGGTGAGATGACTGTTAACTCAAAGGTCGGGTAAGGCTTTAAGTTAGTACAGTACAAGTATGCACCACCGGTAGAGTACCGGTATTACTCCTGCCACGCCCACGCTCTCTTTTTCTTTGCAGAAAACCTAACCCTATTAGCTCGTTGCTGGATGCATAGAATATCACTCGAGTCGCGTTGACTGAGCCTTGCGCGGGCGGCGGGCGCCTTGCAAAGGCATGCTGATCCCGCGGAATGTATGATATGCGCTCCCCATGTTATGCGTCGGATGTGGGTTGAGGGCGCCCTATATGTGGATTAAATCCCATTCGTTCCCACGTACCCCGGATCTACCGCTCAAGTCCAGCTGCAGGATGGGGAAGCCGGCGTGAGCCCCAACCCCTGATACCCACCCACGCGAATCACCTTACGCGAATGGCAAACAATCCCCGGATCCAACGCCACAATGCTTTGATTCCGAGTCCCTTTCTTTTTTGAACTCCCGGAGTAAGACACCCGCCCGACCTGGTGTGGGAGAGAGTGGAAAAAAAAAAGGAACAAAAGAATCAAGCAAACACAAACCCGCCATTTGATGTACTCGTATCATCTGGTCACACACTAAATTTGAGACCAAGCCAATCCTACAACCATGCCGGGGATCCAAACACTTGCTGGCTGCTTGCTTGCTTTAAGACTACAATTCTTGTCCAGTAATACTCTAAACAGCTCTCTCGTCCAATGTAACTTCCACCCTTCCTTCCTACCACCCTAGGCCGCCATCACAACCACCACTGCCCCATACTTATCCTTTTCTTGACCTGCAGCACCCCCTCACAATACACTTTTCCATATGCAAAAAAACTGAATTTTTGAAAAACCAAAGGAAAAAGTAAAGAAAGAAAAAATATATTAGAGACAGGCAAACAAACCAATCATAGCTTGGTGGACCTAAAAAAAAAAAAGAAATCCGAAAGAGAAATAGCACCTGATCTAATTGACCTACTTTCCAGAGTGAAAGGTAGGAACCACAAAAAAAGGGACGGAAAACTATACTCATCAAGCCAATCTCAATCAAACTGGTCTTGGTTTCTTTTCTCTCTCCTAAAAGGTCCCGGGGGTTTCTTTTGTGCTTAGGCAAACAGGGCCAGCGAATCCATAACTCACTGTCAGACAAGCCCTATCTTGCACAAAAAACGGTAATAAAACACCCCTTTTACTGTGTTGTAAGGTGAATTGATGGGGGGAGGAACAGAGGAGAGGGAGAGGGGAGACGCTGAAAGAAATACCAGGCAAATGTAGGGGATAGGGGGGGCGAGGCGACAGAACGAATGCAAACACTGCTCAGATCCAAGGAACCGAATGATAGCATCAAAACCCAAAAAGTGGGTGAACGAGGTTTACCAAGGAAGTAATAAAAGCAAGGCAGAGAACGCGGTGCCTTACTATTTCCCAAGTGCCAAGTGATCGATCGACCAGCAAAGCGCAGCATGGGTGAAAGGGCAATGGGTTACTCCAACAAGAGAGGACGGGACCGACCCTGACAAGGAAACAGAAAAGATAAATAGCGAGACCAATTTGGCTAAGTAGCTAAGTATAGGGAATGGACACAAAAACGCACCTTAGTACAAGACAGCTGTGCTAGCGTGAGAGAAAGGGGCAAAACATATGGACTAGAAGGGAGGAAGGGCTAAGACGAGAAGTTCAAAAAAACATCAAAAGGCACTCGAGATATAAGAGCTATGAATCGTTTTGGCAAGCCATACGAGACCCGACCATCTCCGTAATCCCCGGATCAAACCGCCCTCTAGTCAGCCATGTGATCCGGGAACAATTTTGACGCATAGTCAGAGTGTCCTCCAGCGCTCGACCTCGAGTACGCCGGCGAGCACCCTGAGCTAGAAGTCGAGCTCGTGCGCATTATCGGTGCGGGAGTATTCATCTTGGGATTGCTTGTGCTGGCAGTAGTGCCTATAGCAGTACATGCGCTTCCTATGCCGCTACCACTAGCGCTAGCGCTAGTCCCACTGCTTCCGCTCGTCCCACTCGTGTTTGCTCCACCGCCGCTGGACTCCGAGTCGCTCCGTATGGATTTTGGCTGTTGAGAGAGTGATTGTAGAGGTTGTGAGGTGAAGGAATCAAAGCTTGAGTTTAGGATGCTGCTGCTGTGTGGGCCCGAGGGGAGGAGTGAACTGTTTGATGATGAGAGGGGGAAGATGGGACTCGTGCTTGTGCTGTAGGAGGTAAGGGTCGGGGGAAGTGGAAGGGCCGGGGGGATGATGGATTGGGCTGGCTGAGAGACAGTGGGGTTCAAGTATGAGAGTGGAGGAGAGATGTTGACGATTGGAGTCTTGGTAGTTGGTACGGCGGAGTTGCTGCTTGGTGCAGAGGTCGTGGTGAATCCCGGCTCTCCAGCCCACGGGGAATAACTTCGTCCTACTACATGAGTTTGAATACTCTGGGTTACGTAGTTACCTGACGTGAGGTCGTTGGTACCATTGGCTCTTAGACTGATGTTCTCGGAGGCCTGTGTTCTGAAAGGGGAGGGGAGTGTTACTCTATCTGCTAGAGTGGTCCTCGGGGAAACACCCTCCGGTAGCGAGGACGAGAGAGAACTCAAAGCAGGGAATATAGTATTATATCCGTCTAGCGAGGAGTGCGAGGGCATGCGAGTGCTCGGGGCAGGCATATAGCTCTGCAAACTTGGAGCCTGATCCTGGTCAAGGTACAGCGCCGAGTTTGCCTGTCTACCGCTAGAGGGCAATGGTGACCACTGCCCCTGCTGCCCGCCAACGAGCGAGCTGGAGGTGGCTATCTCAGGCTGGAGGAACTGGGGATAATTCCCGTTGTACAGCTCCCCACCTGATATCCCGCTCCCGCCGCTCGTCCCGTTAGACAAGTCCCCTTCGTATGAGCCTCTGTGGGAGGAAATACCCATACCACCGCCTAGAATCAGACCATTTCCATCCGTGCCGCCAGTGCCACCCATTGGATCTTGATGATGTACCGATTTCAATGACATCACATCATTAGACAAGCCAGTCGGATTCATTGTGTGATGCCTCATGGGGAGCTGGCTCATCAAATGCTGAGAGTTGAGGCTGTGGTGGTGATGCATTGGGGGCGATGTAATGTTGGCGTGTGGGTGCCCCAGAGCAAGAGATGAAGAGGATGAAGAGGCTGACGACGACGAGGAGTATGGGGGAGGGGGAAGGTCGATAGTTGTTGGGGGGACCTGCTCGTAACCACTCACCACGAGCATGTGTTCGGGTACGAGCTCCGCCATCTCACACTGCACCCTCAAGAATATACAGGTTCCTTGCGGAACGCTCGCCGACTTGCAATTAGTGCAGCCCGTATTATCCCCAGGGTCCCCACTGCATCTGATCTTGCGCTTGCGACATCGCCCACACTGAATTGCCGCACGATATTTATTAGCCAAGCGTTTCCTGATGGGGAAAGAACTGTTTGGAGTCGGAGGGTAATATGAAATCAACTTAGAAAACCCTCTACATTGGAGGAAAACCAATGGAGTTGGATGCAAAACACCAGGTTTTCCCAAGCAAAGCTGTGAGTTCGGGCAACAATTCTCTTTCTCCCCGTTCCGGGGACCGGCGGACATAACTCAGATAAACGAAGGAAAGGAAAAGGATTGAACCCACAGCTACTTGGATCCGACGCCTGGGCGTGCCACTGCTATTGGCATTCGCACTTGATCCGTGGGAGCTAGACCCAGACCGAGAAGTCTGCCTAGTCATTGGGTCCGTTCGGGGGTTCTGCCGGCACAGAGACAATGACATTGACCTGTCTTGAGGTAGAGGGGGAATACCCCTGGGCTGACGGTATTCCAATGGGGGATCGCTTGCATAGCTCAATTGGTTCAGCGGATGGCGAGTCATGGTTGGCTCCTTACAGTGTCCGTCAAAAGGCGAACTGGAAAGATTCCTGAGATCGCCGACGGAGCAAGGGCTTGGAGGAAGTTTGACGGAAGTTTTTCCAGAGAATTCAACTCCGATAGCAGGATTGAGAATAGTATTGGCGCTCCCGTAGATTCGAATGAAGGAGGTAAAAACGAACGTATCTAGCTTAAACTTTCCAGCGCAATATAGAATGGCCCAATTTCAAGCTTGGATGGGGGCCACCAGCGGGCAGAGTGAGCTTGAGTTCAGGAATGAGAGAAAAGTAGATATTGAAAGGGAAAATGGGAATATCAGGAGCTGACGGCGTACGGACGGACACTCGAAGGGGGCACACGGCGCACTGTCTCCGTCCGGCAGAGTGGATAGTAAGGACTATTGGGGTCGCGCTTTGAGAATTGGGGTTGAAGGGTGGTGTCAAGGGAGGGTGAACAGAAAGAGATGGGGGAGGGAAACGCACAAGAGAGCCGGGCTGAAGCACAGGATGGGGTCGCAGTTATAACAAAATAAACACTCACAGCATGCTTCTAGAGAAGGAAACGAGGTAGAAAAGTGTGTGGGGGGAGAGGGAGAGGGGGGGGAGTGAGAGAGAAACGGGGTGAACACCAGTAATAGTCCAGCAATAGCTAAAGGGTAGTTGGATTATGGGAGCATATTTCTAAAATATGCACCGTCAACATAATCCCTAGATACTTTTCTTGACATACCTACTTACACGGAGGCATCAGAGGGTTTAATCATTGGTCAAGCTGGGGAGAATCTCGTAGAGCGCTCTGGGCGCCTGACAGGTCCCGTGCTTGTTTGTTTTCGCCTGTTATCCTTTGTGTGTGAAAAAAGTAAATACCGTAAAGAAGTTTGTGCAGCTGCCTTAAGTCTCCAAAGTCTAGCTCCAGTGTGTGGGGAAAAAAATGAGGAATATACGATATACGTACATATATGAATCCCCTTTATCTGCACCTGCTGTCTCCCTCAGACGCTGCAACCATCCATCACTTATCATTGGCAACCGAAACTCCCGTTAGAACGAAGCGAGTACCATACGGCTAGGGTCCGTATGGCACTGGATCCAGCATACTGGGAAGGCAACTTCATAACATCTAATCATTGATTTAACTAAAGTTAGAAGGTATCTGAGGGGCGAGTGAAGTGTGTCGGGACGGATGGGGAAAGTAGAGTCGTATACGTTTGTATCGGGGCGGTAAGGCTAGGGGAAAGCACCGTCGGTTGTCCTCTGGAATCAATGGCGCGCAGCGGAACCCAGAGTACAAGAGTACAACAAGTTGGGGCCTAAAAGTTATAGAACGGCGAGTGTAGCCAGTAGAGAAGTCAAAAACAGAAACCATGCCATTCCGCCAGCATAACTTAATCAACAGGGGACCAGAGCTCATGATTCACCACCCGCAGACAAACGTTGACTGCAAATAAATAGACTTTACGATATTTCTTCCCCCCAGTCCGCACCCACATGATTTTCCAGGTTGATTGCCCTCGGGGAATTCCTGTCTCCACTGCAATTATAATCCGCCCCATTTTCCCTAAGGAATCCGTTAGAAGAAAATTTCGGACACCATATGCATACTGTACACCCAGACATGTACACCAGCCTCACCTTCTCTACTTCGCCCGCCAGATGTTCCTAAGGCGCGTCGTATGGAGGCCTCGGCGCCTTCCCTAGAGTTCTCAGAAAGTAAGACTTTCTCCCCACCCCTTCTTCCTCGTTCTAACAATAGAAAATGAGGAACCTCAAGATTTCTCTCTTTCCGTCGGATTAGAAGGTTCAGTCGCAGCGTTGGACCGGAAACTGAGCTAGATTGGCCCAGCTGCGCAAGAGTCCGAGGACTGCGTTTGCACAAATAGTCATACGATACGATGGCCGCAGAAAAGAACATCAAGACTAGCTGCAGAGTCAGTATGACAAACGAAATGTACTCTCCCTCAGATGGCCTCTGTCCAACTCACCCACCACACAATAAAACCAAAAAGCAAACCTTTTGTCAAAGGATTCCACACCGGGTAGCTGCATGCTTGCGGAGATAATTATGATGCGTAACACACCATGAAAGACAGCCCTAAAGTGTGAAGACTGGTCGGGGAGCATGGGATTCAGTCCAGCTTTGTGACCAAACAATTGGATGCTCGCCACCGCTCATTTGCCCCATTCGAACATAGAACAAAGGAAAACAGGGGGTCGAGGTGGGCGAACTGATACCTGCATCTTCTCGAACAGGAGCCACGAACTCGTTTTAATTTCGACTCTTTTCTTCCCAGGATAATATTCAACCTTCCAGGATGCAAGTTAATAGAGGACAGGAGGCAGTCATGCTAACGCGAAAACGGTGAGCGAGGGGAAGTGAGGAAATGATTTTTAATGTGCCTTTCAGGCTTATACAAGTATTCCAGCGAATCGAGAGTAATAAGCTGTGCAACAACCAGCTATAAGGTGGCTTCCGAGATCAGATTCAGACCCTCGCCAATTTGACAGTTATTTAATTTCTGTTTTCAAATAAAGTCACCGGACGAAAAAGGGAGGATCGCTCCAATTTGGCACAGCCATCTCGATTGATACCCTCTGGCCACACACACTCGAGTTCGGAGTCCTGATAGGAAGCCCTAATGAGGATAACCAAGAATCTCGGACTAAATAAAACTGGCTAATTCCACTCGGCCGCATGATGCCTCCCCAGGTATCATATAAGGTTGGGCCTTAGATGTTCTCGCCTTGTTAGTAAAATTAAAATTAAAAATAAAATAAAATAAAATAAAATAAAATAAAATAAAAACCTCACCCCATAACCACTATACTGGCAGACTAGGCATAATACCTTCTGTCCAACCAACAACTGTGACATGAGCTTCGGTCAACCCATCAGCACGATAATACACATTATCGTGCGAGCTCAGTCTACTTTCGATTCTTGGCCCGAATACAGGACCTCCCAGATTACTGAAAAAAGGATTAGGAACGACCAATCCGGTCCCATCAACGTTAAAAAAGGTTGATTACAATACCGCCTGCTAACAATAGGGTCTCTGTTTGTGAATAGATGGCTACCTCCGGACAGGAGTTGAAACGAAAAATAAATAAATGGGTGAGGATGCAAAGAACCTACCTGCTTGCTCCCCCTAAAAGTTCACGATCTTTCCGTCGCCGGTCGATGAGGAAGTGGGGGTTATTCTTGTTCTTACGTTGCTATTTTCCCACCTCCTGTAACCCATCCATCATTGCCACATCAGAGAGTATCACTAAATTGAGCCATAACAAAATAAGGCGATAGCGCAATTTCAAAGATGTCCGCAGGTGGCGACTAAGGTGACCTATTCTCGTTATCGTGACCAGGAACAAAACCATGCAAATGCCTTTTATAGGCTTCCCAGAATCATCACCAACCCTCTGAGGGACGCATGATCAAGTAGGCCATCTCCGCCCATACCCGGGTGTGTCCACAAAAATCGAAAAACATAACCCTAGTCGCCACAGAGGATTGTAAGGAAACAGCAGAACAGTTTCCCGATTTTTTACTGACACACCCTGAGTACATATCCTTTGCACTAACTTAAAAAAAAAATTAGCAGCAGGGACGAGAGTGACATGATCAGTGCGCCGTATAGGTAGCTTTCTGTACTGCCCCGGGGCGAGAATAACACTTCTCGGAGATCGACATGAGTCAATCTAGGTAAGCCCGTTATTATTGGTAAGGCGTGGGTGGGGATCAGATGCGGGTGCGCCTAGGCGGCATAGCATCGAAATCCGAGCGGTATTTTTTTTTTTTTGACTTCTCAGTCGCGAATACCAAACTTGTTGGAAGGTGCGGCCGAGGAGCATTCAAATCCGGTACAGTCCACAATCGCCATTGATTGTCTTGTAAGCCAGGATCACGAAGATTTGACCAATCAGAAGTGAGTGAGTATTTGGGGGGGTTGAATATGGGTGCTCCCCGATTTTAAGAGGCGGGTACCATGTACCGGTAGTCTGAGCAGGGGTGATTTTTTGGGGGGGAAGGCAAGTGGTTCTCCATGCGGGGACGATTATGCCGTCCCTGGAGGTACCCGTGGGCTGTGGCATGAGGAGAGGGTTGGTTGAGTGATGAGATCGTTGGAGCGGGAGACACCCTTCCCCACCACGCTTCTGATCGTAAGGCGGAGAATGAATTGATACAACACGATAGGCTCGCCGAACCCACGGAGTGGACATCCCCGAAGAAGTGCAATGGGGACGTCGAGGTGACAGCCCAGTAAACACGCAGTTCGCAATTCTACTGGATCTATGTAGCATATAGACTACAATGTACTCGAGTACAGATCGCAGGGAAGTATCATACTGCACAACAAGGTGCTTCTTCTATTAGTGACGATTGTTAGCGACTTATTTTCTATGAGAGCTACAGGGATTTCTGAGAACCTTGGGTTACGCGAGTGGAAAATACCCATCGTGGATCGTAACTATAACCTAAATAGTGGAAGAAGGTACAAGCATTGCCCAGCGCAGTTAGGGCCGTTCAAGATTGCAACTTATCCGCGTCTCTGGCCCTCATTCTGATCGGACGTCTGCGGTCACGTGCTCCCGGATCGTAACATTCTTGCTCGTCCACCCGTGTTCCCTCCTTAAACTCATCCAGACTGTCAACTGATGACAACGGCATACCAACATCAATCCCACCTGTATGATACACTCCGCGCCCACCAACACATTATTTCACCGTTGCCTGTTAAGCCGTCCAATTATCCATCGCGCCCTCACCTCATCGCCGTTTCCCCGCTGCACACCTTGCTACCATCCCCCCCCTCATATTTGACAACACAACCAGACAGTCACGAAATACCACGACATAATCACCTACTTCCTTCACTCTCTCCCCATCTTCTATACAGCCATTGAGCTTCCGCTGTTATGTCTGTACTGCTTGAGCTCGGGGAGACAGGTGACGTTGTCATTGATCTCCTGGTAGGTTACGCCCCCAAAACTTGCGAGAACTTCCTCAAACTGTATGTACCTCTCCGAACCCTCACATAAACCCATCCCTCACCTTCCCCACACACATTTCTCCCCCACATTTCTCCTTCCGAAGCGGGTATTCCCGCCACGGGAACCCGCAATCACAAATACGAACCGACTAATGCTCTGATTTTCACCGGCGGCTATCTCCAGATGCAAGATGAAATATTACAACTTTTCCCCCATTTATAGCGTTCAAAAGGATTTCTCTTTTCAGACCGGCGACCCTATCGGGCCTGACTCTCCTGAGTCAGATGGAGGTTCATCGATCTGGGGCCTTCTGGAGGGTCCTTCCAAGCGCCTATTTCCGGTGGAGTTTCATCCAAAATTGAAGCACACGGAACGTGGTACGGTGAGCATGGCCACCGCTCCTGGTAGAAATCCAGATGCGCGGGTGGGTGGAAGTCAGTTTATCATCACTACGGGTGACGAGTTGGATTACCTGGATGGAAAGGCCGCGATATTTGGCAAGGTTGTTGAAGGTTTTGACACGCTAGAAAAGATCAACAATGCCTTCTGCGATGACAAAGGAAGGCCACTAAAGGATATCCGAATACGTCACACGATTATTTTAGAAGATCCATATAATGATCCTGATGGTTTGAGAGAGCCGCCCCAGAGCCCTGTCCCGTCAAAGGCTCAACTAGCTACCGTGAGAATTGGAGAGGATGAAGAAATCAAGGAGGATGATGACCCCGAAGCAACCGAGAAACTAAGGCGAGAACGAGAAGCAAGGGCACAAGCCTTGACATTAGAGATGGTTGGCGATCTTCCATTTGCGGATGTCAAACCACCCGAAAACATCCTCTTCGTTTGCAAATTGAATCCCGTTACTCAAGGTTCGTTCGGTATTCTACCCGTCAGATTTCAATTTATTAACTCGCTCTAGATGAGGACCTTCATTTGATTTTCAGCCGTTTCGGAACTATTTTGTCATGCGAAGTTATCAGAGACAAGAGAACCGGCGACAGCCTCCAGTATGCATTTATTGAGTTTGAGGACCAAAAGGCGTGTGAGCAGGCCTACTTTAAAATGCAAGGTGTATTGATAGATGACCACAGAATACACGTCGACTTTTCGCAGAGTGTTGGATTGCCCCATTATTCCCATCTTCCCCCTTACTCAGAGTGCTAAGATGATGTGTTGCAACAGGTGTCCAAATTATCCGACACATGGCGATCAGCCACTAATGCAAAACGTCAAAATGCGGCCAATGCACGTGGTTTTGGTGGGTTTAACCAACTGGAGAAGAGGCGCCAATACAGGGAAGGTAACGACAAGAGCCAGGGCATTCCCGGTAGTCGTAATACAAGATATGTGTTTGATGAGGCTGATGTTCGGAGACGCGCCGAGACATCAAGATCAGAAAGAGATGATCGAGGCTCCCAAGGTGACAGACACAGAGATGGAGGCAGGGAAAGGCACAGAGAACAGGATAGGGTCAAGGGACGTGGGGGTAAAAGAGATGGCGGAAGGTCTGGACGAGAGCGTGGTCTCAGTAGCGGTAGCCGCCGCGATGACGAAAGAAATCCCCGGAAAAGGCAACGAAGCCGGAGCCAAAGGAGGCGCTATGGTCATGATAAATACTAGATGTCCCGATGACCTTGACGACAGGTCATAAGCCAGGGGAGGGTTTGACTCGCTTCCCGGATACCTACCAACATAGTCAAGAGAACCGGATATCCACAGTTCCTCGCCATCATATAAAACGCATATCAGAGGTACTGTCCAGAAAAAAAGGGACATCGCTCAATTTGCTTCCTCAGATGTTTTTAAATACCCTGCAAACCCGTTCCAAGCCCCGTTCAAACTTTGTGATTTGTGACAGAAAGCGACAACGCATTGAGCTCATCGCATCTCACCATGAGCGATGTCAAGTGATGCTCTGTCGTAGGTCTTCCCATCGCGCCTCCGCCACAATACTCTTTCCGTGTCTCAATCAGCTTCATTACCCACCCACCCCATTGCTAGCCCACTGACAAGCAACGGCAAGCCACCCAACCCAATTCTTCTACCTCCACAGGATATGGATTGTTCTAGCCCTCATCCCCCTCACGCCCCTTCCTTGGCCCCGCCATCGCGAGAAAATAGAATCTCACAGCAGCACTAATCCAACTGGAATATAGTTCACGGCGATACAATAAGACATTCCCCCCCCCTCCTCTTCCTCCCCCCCATCCTACCTCCTGGAACCTATACAATTCCAAAGCAAACACCCTACGGATTCCCTCTTCCCACATGCTTGCATGCATCTTCCGCTTAATACCCCCCCCGTCACTGTGCGGTGCACTAAATGACAGGTGAGCTTTTCCCCTACCTTTTCGTTTCCCATTTTCTTTTTTTTCTTTCCACATCACACTTATCTCCCTCTTTTCCCAGATTAGACACCGAGATGAGATAGAGGCAGTCTTCCATATTACGGGTTGTGTGTGTGTCGCTATGAACGGTCTAGATTATGCCCCGGGATTTGTTTACCACATTTGGAGGTGACGAGTGATAGGTCGTAGATGGATTGCGCCTTGACAGGGGAAGGGGGAAGGGGGATTGGAGATTGAGGTTGGAGGTAGAGCCGAGTGAGGGGGTGTGATTTGGCGGGTGGGTGCAGTGTTTGGTGGGACGGGGTTCCAGGGAGTGTCTATGGCATAGACCCCGCCCCCTATGCCGCTTCTGGAGAGGGCTGAGGGACTGTCTCACGGCTGCCTATTGCTTCGTTTGCTGGTTTTCAGTGTTTGGGTGTGATTGTGTAATCAAGTGTTTTTTTATCATAACTCACCTAAGGAGCATACCGAGCCGGGGCCGGTGTATGGTGCAGAAACCGATAAGCGTGAACCTGATTAGGGGTTTGTTCAAGGGGGTATTACTAACCTCATACTAGTTCAAATCGTATAAAAAAACTGTACCAATACAAGTAAAGAGGAGCTGAATACAAATTCAGTGTATTGAATTAATAGAGGTAACTGAACAGGATAGTATACTTATTTTGAAAACTGAAAATTTGGTGTAAGATTGAGGTCTTGGCAACCTGAAGAGACTGACTAAGCATAGAATATTGAGATAGATAGACTTGTTAAAAACTAATGCGTTAGTAAAAATAAACTTGGTATCTGACACTTGGGTGGCATATCCTAATACGGAGTTTTATGTTTTAGGATTGCCTGCCTCTGGTGTGTCCTGACTCCTATTGCAATGTCACCCAGGGTCCTGTGCTTCCTGACCCCTATTGCAATATCCCCCTATGTCATATGGATATAAACTTTTATTGTGATACTTCTCCTGTGACTTCTTTTTTGGGATTCCCTCCTCACAGTATTTGGCACACCAACAATCTATCTAGTTCCTCCTGGCTGCTCTCATGACTATAAAATAGCATCCAACTTGGTGTAGGACACTTGCTGCACTTCCTATTATGTTCTGATATGTTGTCTCCTGATAGCAATACATGTAAGTACCTGCCAAGATTGCTGTTATGTTTGCATCCAGCTGATAGAAAGAAGAACCTGCCTTGTGTCACCTATCTGTGATATCAACTACTGGGACCCCTCTCGGGAAGGCATATCATAGTTCCTTACAACAACTTAATATTTGCAGGTCCTCTCGTAATCCCATGATTTCTAGCACATTATCTTAATTAGATTTTATTATTTCTATGTATAGCTTGCTATCAAGAGAGATCCATCATTCTATGTATAGCTTGCTATCAAGAGAGATCCATCATTCTATGTCTATCTTGTTTGTTCTACAAGGAATTGATGTCCGGTATTAGCAGTTCTGTATATCATATAACTACTACATTAGTATGAATTGTCTCAATATATTTCATTGAACTTCTTAAACTTAATACTACAATTGACCAGCTATTGCCTATCTGCCTCTAGGTTTATGTAGGCTTGTCCAAGTATCATGTGCATATCTACTATGGTAAACCTTGTTACATCTGATCTCAGCTGAACTGTCACAAGATTATGTAATTCTGATAGATGGTTAGAGATTGTAATGACCTGACACTGTTAATCTATAACAACCTGGGTCTATGACCATACATGAGACTATCAGGTCACGCAGGAGGCTATGTATGCATGCCAGAGTATATTGGAGGAACTATCTAATAGTGCCGGTATCTTTTCAAGTATAAGGTACTTAAAGAAATTTGTATGCCAAAGTAGCAGTAGTAATATGACTATGGCTACTACATCCTCAGGCTAGAGCTGTAAGGATCCTAAGTTACAGAGCTATGGCAACCTGAGTCTATGCCCATACATAATACTATAAGGTCGAATGGTAGACTAGAGAGACATGCTGGCGCATGTCCCAGGGATATCTGATAGTCCAGATATCCCAAGAAATAGAAGGTACTTATGGGATAGGTGTACCGAAGTAGTGGAAGTAATGTGACTATGTCCACTCTGACCCAAGTATAGGTCAGAAGGTCACGTATGTTTACCCGGTCTAGGAGAGTCATGTAACCCTACCATGGAGACTAGTTTCATGTCACCATGGACATGCTTACCCTCCCTTTGGGACACTATTACCCTACATTCCATCGGAAATGTTCTTGGAGGAATTCTGTGAAGTGTTAGAATTGTTTGTTATACAATGACGATCGACGAGCACTTACTTGCAGATTGATCAGAAGACTATGGAAGGAGCTATAGTGCTCCGAACAAGCTGTAACCCGGCAGAAGTATTCCTAAAAGGTACCTGCGGGCCCAGGGTTCACCCCGGGTGTCATGGGTCAAAATGGTTGAAGTTGCCGTCATGCTAGTTAAATAGTGTCTATGAAGACATGTCTATAATACTGGATACATTGCTGCCATCCATCCGACCGGAGGCTGTTCGCAGGATATAAAAGGAGGCCAAGGTGTGAAGGTGAAGTGCCTTCGCCAAAGAAGAAAGAGTAAAATGGATCAAAACTGACAGAGTTAGTGTGAGCTATCTGGAAGGGTCCCCTCAGTAGTCACGGGTAGTGCCAGAGACATCTAGGAAGGTTTTACACCAATCAAGCCTACACATGCCCCTTCACTGTAGGCTCTTTGTAGGTTGTTTGAAGACTCTAATAGCATGATACTTATCATGGTGAGTAGTGTGCTAGGGGTAAAGGATCATGGGTAGCGCCCACGGGTCCCACTGCCACCACAGCTCTCTACTGGCGCATCGTAGACCTTCTAAGTTCGCAGTCATGATAGACAGAACTTAACCGGAAGACAGCTGATATCTACCTGTACTTGCATAGGTCATAGCACATGGGAAGAGAGTCATTTAGCTAGCTTTCCTAGGTGGCTTGACAGTTAGCCACTGGCGAGACACTGATACGCAAAAGTTTTCACTCTGGCAGGTGTATTGGTAAACACCTCACAGAAACTGAGATGCATACAGGAGATTTCTACTAGAGTGTGCTGACACCTAAGGCCCTTCAGGGATATGGTAGTGGTGGTGGGTAACGCTTATGGAAAAGGGCGTACTCATGTTGGTTGGTGTAATGTGATGGGAGAGTTATTGGTATAAGTCTGATGACTAAAGTATTATAGGAGAATGCTCCTACCCCAACACGATCAACATCCTCTCGAGACTGTTTAATTGAGATAAGTCAGAGCTTAATGATAGTAAGTTTTACTCTTTACTTTTATTCTTTACACTTTGCAAGAGCTGTGTTCGAGAGATCTGAAGTTTGGTCCAGTCACATCCTTAGGAACCATCTACCTCAGGGAGCCCCTGTTACAAGAGCGGAATGCTAGGTACAGCTATCCTGTATAAGAGAGTTACATTACCATGATATAGGAACTGTGGTCATATCACGATGAATGTAATTATCCTACACTTGGGATACAATGACCCAATCTAGGATTGGAAACATTAGGATTGTTGGTTATGCAATGTCAATTGTTGAACATTTGGCTGCATGTTGATTGGAAGACTATGGGAGAAGCTATAGGATTCTGAACACACTATAACTTGGCAGAAATATTCTCAACAGGCACCTCGGGCCCCAGGGTTTGCCCTGGATGTCATAGATTAAAACAGGTAGAGTTGCCATTCTGCTAGTTAAGTGGAGTTAATGAAAACACATTTATAACACTGTATAAGTTGCTACTGTCCAAGCAACCACAGGCTGTTCATACGATATATAAGAGGAGCAAGATAGAAAGATCAGGTACCTGCTCTAAGCTAAATGGGTTAAAACTGAGCAAACCTGATGGAGTTAGTGGAAGCTATCCAGAAGGGTCACCTGAGTGGACCCTTGGTGGTACTGAGACATTCAGGAAGGTTTTACAGAAATTACGCCTACATTTGCCCCTTTGCTGTAAGCTCATTAGGGGTTGTTGGAGAACTCTAAAATCTTGATTCTTATTATAGTGAGCACCATTTCAGGGGTAAGGAACCATGAGTGGTATCCACAAGTTCCACTGCTGATGCAGCTTGCTGTGGAACTGCTATAGACCTTCGAAGTTTGTAATTAGGACAGATGAAACTTAAACAAAGACAGCTGACATTCTCTGTCCCTGTTACAACTCCCGACATTGAAATATATTTCCTATTTAGGAAGGACTCCATATCAGAGAACTATCACCACTTTTTTCGTCTTATACCCCCCCCACTGGGGGGGTGTAGTCCTCTGCTACTCCTTCCTTGGACCTCTCTGAGGCTGTCCTTCCTCTTCCTCCTCCCTCATTCCCTCTTATAGCTCCTCGAGGGCCCTTTTCTCCTTGGGAGGTTCTCATGGTCCCCTGTTCTCCTCGCTACTATACTTTTACTAGGCTCGCTTAGCATTTGTAAAGTTTGGCTTTCTTCTGGAAGAGGATAGTCGGACAGTCAGTCTTCTTGGTAGTTCTCTGGGCTATTGGGGGCCTACCCCTGCCTCCTTTCACAGCTG